AACAAGAGTAAAGAGACGTGTTTGAGGGAAGGATACAGAGAAGGACAGGGGAACAAGCTCAGGGTGCCAGATTGTCTATTGAAATTACACTTGAATATTTGATGATTATAGTGATCGAGGAAGCAAGTAAGAGGAAGCGAGTTCCACAGACGGGAAGTGCGAGAGAAGAAGCTGTTTGAGTAGAAGAAACAGTTCCATTTAACCGGGAAGAAGCTGTTGGCGTGGAACTTACATCTCGCTGCTGGAATACGGGGGGAATGTGGATGGTTTGTTACTATGTAAGGCACATGGTGGGTCCTAGCTAGATTTGGTGCGACCAAGGAATGTAGTTCGCCCGAGCACTTTCCATGGAAGTAGCGATAGAGCAATGGAAGACTCGCTACATCCCGCTTGTGTATGTGTGTGTGTGTGTGTGTGTGTGTGTGTGAGAGAGAGAGAGAGAGAGAGAGAGAGAGAGAGAGGTTGGAGGGTAGGAAATAATTCTTCCCCAACAAGAACTCGGAGAGTTTTGAAACTCCCGCCCAAATATGACAACAGCACTCCATTATCGGACTGATCTGGCTCTTATAAAGATAGAGGATAGCATGAAGAGTCAGATTACTACTGGAGCGATACAGGGAGACAATCATTTTTCCTGCATCTTTAGCGATGGATCGTATATAAGAGTTCCATTTGAGGTCGTGTGTGAGTTTGAGGACCAATATTCTCCCAAGGCATGCTGCCTCTTCGAGGGGACCTCTATTCATCGTGACTGATGCTAGTTATGGGTCATATGGTAAATATTATAGTTAGTTTTATTATAGCGTAACATAGTCTTCGTCTATTGTAATCATAGAGGTGAATTTGATTCTCACTGTGTGCTTGACACGTTGGTACTTGTCTTAGAATAAGTTTAGTAAATTCTGAAAGTGCCACATCAGAAGAGAGCTGGGTTTTTCCAATCCTAGACGAATGGCATTGAGTGCCAGTCTCGTGTATCAAAGATCTCATTCGCTCGATAAAACACGAAATTGCGTGAGGATCCGACTATAGTTAAACGACTAAATCAGTTGTCAGGAGATTGGCCGTTCCGGACTAAACTGGTTTTGTCATGAAACCGCTGATTATAATAACAGAAGCAAAAAAAAAAAAAAAAAAACTATTTTCAGTCAATACACCAGTTGAAAGACGGACAAATCAAGACGATAATTGTAACGCCCGTTGAAATGTCCGACTTCTACTAAGTTAAATCCGAAAAAAATCTTTCTCTAGTTTCTCGTGACCTATTCGGAGAAGCAAGTTCAAGTATATTGGTACTGGCACTGCAACATTTGCACGAGTAAAACAAACCAGATAAGTAATATTTCAAATACATCTTTTCATGGTCTGCTTAAATGTATATGCTTAATAGTCTAATGGAAAGAAATATTATTTTGGTAAACATCATTGAACGAATCAGAAACACTTAAATGCAAAACTATCAAATGTATTCTGGCACTCGTATCTGTTTATGCCTGTCAGCTAGCGGGGGGGATACTAATCCCTGATGCAGACGCCTGCTCAGACTCAATTTTGTTAATTTAAAACCACTCTTTGTTCTTACTGCAACGAGTCGTAGTTACAGTTTCTGTGAGGGAACGCCTAATCTAATATGATTACGATTTTGAATAAGGCCAGTACGCTAGAAATGATAAAATCTTCTAGAGAAGGTAGCGAAAGAGAATGAGAAAAAAGGACTAAGCAGGCTAAAAGGATGAGCCTGAAATGCGATTTGCAGAACGGGGGGTACTAAAATGAAGAAGGTGTGAAAATTTAAATATCTGGGAAGCGTTTTGTCAGAGAATGGCATGTGTGACGCTGAATTGGGATGGCCAAGGACGGATTCCAAAAGCTGGGCAATATATTATATTGCGAGACAAGAGGATTTCTTTAGTAACAAAGAAAAGAGTACTGAGCTGTTATGTGACGGCAGCGGATATTGGACGGTCACCTCAAAGATTAAGTCGAGACTCGAGGCCACGGAGATGTGGTTCTACAGAAGGATGCTGAGGATATCATGGACCGAGCGTGTGAACAACGATGAGGTCTTGGTAAGGATGCAGACAAGAACCAGGCATCAGGAAGAAGCAGCTGCAATATCTGGGACACGTAAAGAGGAATGAGGGCCTGGAGAATCTGATACTCACAGGTCGAATAGAGGGAAAGAGAGACAACGCATGACATACCTAGTATGGTTTAAGCAAGTGGATGACAGAACCTGGTCTGAAGGAACTTGTTGAGAGCTGCAAAGATAGAGGGAAGTGTAGAGCCATGACCACCTACGTCCGGAAAGGACACGGCATATAAAAAGAAAAAGAAAGACGCTCAACCCCTCGGCCATGGTGACTTACAAGATTTGGTTTAATCACTGATATTGTTTTTGGACAATTCCCGACAGTGGCATACGCTGCTCAGGCCAATATTATGAGGTTCTCACCTCCCTGCTCGTACGCTGCCCAGGTCAGTATTACGAGGATGTCACCTCACTGCCTGTACGCTGAACAGGCCAATATTACGAGGAAGTAATCTCCCTGTTCGAAAAAAACAAACAAAACAAAACAAAACAAAAAACACATAGCTAAACTTACAGTGTATAATAAATGTGTTTGAAAGAGATCAAAATAGATCCAAGTAGAACTGAAAGAAATACAGGAATACATCTACACCTTTGTGCAAATTAACTGAAACAACCTCTTTAGTTTCCTTTCTTTCACAATACGGTCAGTTTTAGATTCACTGGAGAGACAAGGTGTAATTGGTTTCTATTTTTCTGATTTTTTTTTGATTTTTTCTATTTTTTCCTCGGATTAGGTCATTTGCAGTGGTGTGCAGTAACACGAATCTGCCATGTGTATAATGAAATTTGTTTTGTCTTGATAAATATCCAGGATTTCAACAGATTTTCATGACGCCCATACATATTGTCTCGACTGTCGATTAGTTGTCCTACGACCATTCAAGGAAGCGTAGGAAAATTGTATCGTTGCACGAACACACTGCAAACCTTACCAGTGAGCAAATCAAAGTACTATAGACTGTCCTGGAAATTCTCCTGATTTAAATCCAATCGAGAATCTGTGGTCAATTTGCAAGAAACAACTTCATGGAATGGACATACGAAGTATTAACATGCACACTGAGTCATGTTTCATTGGAAGAATATAAAAAAAGTAATTAATAACGTAATTATTCGTTTTGTTTCAATTAATTTGCAAAAGGGTGTACTTAGGGCAAGAGATAAAAGAAAGACTACAAAAATAAAATGAAACGACGTATAAGCATTTAATATAAAATGGAAACATGATGGAATCACAAATTTACAAACTGAGAAGGTCAGCAATAAATTTAATTTGCGAAACATCACAATTAATAAAATCCTTTAAAAAGATTAATGAAAATAGCATTGTTAGATAATAGAGCGCCTCCGTAGATGGTAATGGTTAACGAGCTAGTATGGTCGACTTCAGTGGGCGCCTTAAATATTTTACTCAAAGCTGTGTAAACATTTCAATAGATTACAGGCTACAGCTGGAGAACATTATATTGGTTTATGTAGATTTTTCATTGGAAATGCATTTGCTTGCCTTAAACGACTGGAAATAGGTAATTTCTTCGATATGTTGTGGGATTTCGACTGTGATTTTCCATAAAAGGAATTCCACAGAACGTCAATTGTAAAATGCCACTTGCAGTTTTGTCACCTGGCATTTGTCAATATATTTTTGTCAGATGAGTCTTGCTTATGGCGTTCAGCAATTTGGCTAACTCATTTAACTTCCGGTTAAGTTTTTATGAAGTTTGCGTCACTTTTGTTCCTGTTCGTTAATTCCTGCATTGAAATTGTATCAATTGAACGTTTGTTTCCATTCAACATCTACTTATATCTTGGCTAACTCACCCTGGCATTTAATAGTGAATTCGATCTACACTGAATGTCATATATTCATGGCCTTGAGCCAAATCTAAGCTCAGTTAGTAATAACACTGTTCATATGTGGACGTTTCAGATTGGAAGAACAGTTAATGATCTGCGATGTTTCAACATTACTACTGGCTAGTGAGTTTGAGTTTCACTGAGTGCTTCAAAATTTAGTTCAGTTTAATAAATAGCAAGAATATTGGTATGTGGACACTTTGGGTGGGGTAATTGGTTGACGAGTTAGTCTGATTGACTATTCTGACAGAGTAGTGAGTTTGATCCTCACTGTGTGCCTTATACTAGTGGCCTTGGGCCATACTTGAGCACTATTTATTAAACAACAACAATCTGGACGCCTCAGAACTGAGTAATAGATGTTTGATCATTATTATTCAGTTGCGAGTTTGATCCTAACTGGGTGCCCTAATTTTCTGGTCTTGTGCCAGATCTATAGTTGGCATAATAAATAGCAATAAAATTGGTATGTGATTAGCGATTGTCTTGCGCCAAACTAAACTAATATTAATTCTATATCTTCTCGGTGGCTCTTTTGCTTCTTTTTCGTCAAATGTAAAGCTTCGTAAATGACATCTTGGCTTTCATTAATTTTGTTTCCTTTTCATGAGTTTAATTGCTTCTTTTAAAATCTCTTTGACATTCTTTTTAAGATATTTTTCTTATTGTTGTTTTTTGTAAGTTTGTTTTCCAAGAAAGACATTCATTATTTCATAAGATTAATTAATTCATAGTTTCTTTACTGTTTTTCAGTTTCCCTTTCTTCCATCTTTTCTTTCATTTTTGCTTATTCCATTTCTTTTTGATATTTTTCTATCTTAGCATTAATTTTTTTTGCCTTTCTTTCTTGCCTTCTTTACAATTCTTTTTTCCTTCCTTCCTTTCTTCCTACCTTCTTTAAGATTGCTACCTTTATATTTGTCCATTATGTTATTTTTTTCTTTTTTCGTCTCTCCAATTGTTATTCATTTGTTTGTTTGTTTGATTCTTCCTTTCTTTTTGCTTTTCGGTTTTATTCTTTTCATCTTTTTGCCTTTTTTTCTTTGAGTCTTTCTTTCTTTCTTTCTTTCTTTCTTTCTTTCTTTCTTTCTTTCTTTCCTTTTTATCCGCTTTATTTATTTTGCAGTTGCTTTCTTTGTTTTTGTTTTTCTTTCATTGTGTCTTTCTTTCATGCTTTTTGTATTTTTCCTTTCTTTCTATTTTCTTTCTTTCTTTCGATCAGATTGCTGCTTCGATATTTCTTTTCGAAATTCATTATTAAGCCTTTATCTTAATCTTTTTCCTTCCTATGCTTTATTTTTCTCGCTGGCTTTTTTTTTTAAAGAACCCTATTTCCCCCAAGACCCCTTAACTGCGTGCAGTCCCCCTTTTTTGGTGTAATTCTCCTTACCTGACCTCGACTATCGCTCGACCATTCGCGCCATTTGTGTTTATCGATATTCAGACATCAAATAGCGTCTGTCCGAAATATCAAGGGGAAATTACGCGGGAAAAATGATTTCCCGCCTTTTTATTGATTGAGCTTCACTTTGTCTGACCGTCTCTTGATGGTTCTACTTAATGCGCTCAGGGTTTTATGGCTTCCACAATGCCGGGTGAAAGGTAAAATCAACTTCTGAAAGATGTCGATGTCTTCAATTTGAGCATGACCGCCATTCTTCTTGTAAAGCGACACAGAAGGAGCTATAAAGGAGAACATGTATTGCTACATTTCTCCGTATCACCTCTATGACTATTTCCATATTCTTTGGGTAAAGAGTAGCAGACTTATGGCAGGGAGTATTGCAGGGAGGATTGGTGTTCCATTACAAATCACATATCGTATCAACTTCACAATATATACATAATCCGAACATATTTCACACTTACAGCGTTAAAGAGTTTTTACAAACCAAAGTAAATTTCTAAGTGTGCTTTTCTTTTTTATTTCACCCAAAGCAATGCCCAAGAGACACTCAAGATAGAGCGTTGCTGAATAAATTTTATGGACGTAAGTGGAGGAATTGTTTATTTGAGAAGGATATATAGAACAAATTACGATCAACTTAGATCTTTTTAAATCATTTCACCCCAAGCAAAGTGGGATTGCCACTAGTATGCAGGGTTGGGGAGGAACAGAGAATGAAAGTAAGAGAAGAGACTGCGGAGAAAGTATAAAAGATGAACGGAGTTCATGTCAACAAAAGATGGCGATTTATATTGCATTTAATTTTTTGAAGATTGTAGGCTTTAGGGAAGCAAGCAAACGGAAGGGAGTTCCATTGTCGGTAAGTGCGAGAAAAAACTGTTGGAGTAGAAGATGTGGTTACATTTCAACAATAAAATGTTTGGACCTAGATGCCAATCTAGTAGCACGCTTAAATTCATGTTGTCGTGGCAACAGGAAAAAAAACTCTTCTTAGAAGTTGCCATGAAAAATATATGTAGGAAAAAATAAAACCACGTCACTTCGGCGAGAAAGTGGCTGAAATCGAGATGCCAAATCAGGATCGATTATATTACAGATCCTTTTTTGGATTTTGTCAAGAACCTCGAGATGAAAAACAGTATTACTCAATCGGATATATCAACAGCATTCAATGCACGAACAAATAGTAGATTTGTAAATGTGCAAAATGGACTCTGACGAGAAAAACCTTTTGAAACGATACAGTGAACCAAATTGTAGTAGATGTAGATAATTGATTCAATGTTGTTGTTCCACTTGAGGGCAAGAAATATATCCCTGCCATCTATCAGGAGATCGTCTTTTGATGGATGGCGGAGAAGTTTCTCTGTAGTGGTTAAATGAGGGGTCTCTAGTTTTTCAGGCATTAAAATTTACAATCCATTGCCTACCTCAGTCAACCACTGATTGGAGGTCATTTTCAAGAGTAGTGGCTGCGTCAATTTTGTCGGATTTGCTATTGACGCAAGAGTGTTATCTGCATAAATGCCTACTTAGCAACTGATGGCATGAGGAAGATTATTGATGAAGGTCGGTAACAGCGTAGGACCCAGGATAGATCCTTTGGTTGGGGGGAAACCCCCGTTTGTGTGAAAGGAACTGGAAGTGATCCCGTTCAAAACGACCTTCATTTCAAGATTTGATAGGAATTATTGCATTAAATCAAACAATCGTCCTGTCATACCGTAGCCACGAAGGTTAGGTAGAAGATCAACAATATACCCATGCAGTGATGGCCGTAAGCACTTCAGCGGTAGACTGGGCAAAATGGAAGCCACATTGTTTGTCTGAGAGTAGATCGTGAGAGTTAAGATGCTTAACTACTTCAGCAGTGATTAAAGCCTCGAATAGCAGTAGGAGATTAATAGGTCGATAATTAAGGGAGTTCAGGGGATTCTGCAGAGTTCTTAAAAAATAGGAACTACAGAGGAAGACTTCCAAAAAGTTAGAAAGCAGGAAACGTCGAGGCAATAGTTGGTGAATTTGGAGAGGGCTGGGGCCAGCTAGGGAGCACATTTCTTTAGGACAACAACTGGGAAACCGTCACCTCTACTTACATTATAGGAGTCTAATTACGAAATAAATAATATCCGAATCCAGTGACAGGGTTATGCGCATATAACTGAATAGAGATTCACTTCTAGCGGGGAAATGAAATGAATCGAGTGTTGAGTTAGAAAAGAATTTCCGAGCAAAGCATTCAACCTTATCTGCTGTAGAAGAGCTGTGGAGAGCTTTTTGATTGGTTGATGTTTTTATGGTTTATCAAATTTTGCAGGTTATTTAAATCCAGATTTTTTTAGTTGTTTATCGCTCTCATCCCATGCAATGCAGTAAAGCCACTAAGATACAATGGATTACAGTGTGTGAAAGAATTAGTAACAGGAACATTAATAATGAGCGGGAAGAGGAAATAGTAATCAGGATGGTATTGATTTCTAGATTGTAAGTCTTTTAGAAAATAATAACTGATACAAGTCTAATTAACCCATAGCTGGGGGGGGGCGAGAAGGGAAGGAGAAGTGGTGGATTCATAGATTTCCAAAGGATATTTGCATGTAAGTGAATATAATGAACCTGACTGGAACTTTCCGATTTCCAATTCCCAACCGTTATCTATTCCACTCTACCCCCATATCGAATCTTACAGTAGCTGGTATTCCCAAGCGGTCATTCATCTTGGTACTAATAAAAACGGGACGTTGGCTAACTTTGGTGATCGTATGATTTGGAGAGGTTAAGAGTGTAGTAATCGAGTAAGCATCCTCTTGGGAGTCTGTTCCACAAAGCAGCGCTTCTCGGGGAGAAATTGTATGAATGAGAAGTCTTTGCCAATGAGTGTGAATGAGTCTGATTCAACAAATGGCATGGAGAATTCTAGCTGTAATGTCAGAAGTGATAGACCGAAGGAATATAGATTGATTTATCTGTTACGGCTTATCAAACTTTTGCAGTTTATTTAAAGTTAGTTTTTTAGATTGTAAGAATTTTTTGATTTACTGATACCAGTCCTATTAATTAATCCATAGCTAAGGGGAGAAGAAGTGGATTCATAGCTTTCCCAAGGCTATTTGGGTATAAGTTAATATAACGAATCCCCTTTCTAATTCCGAATCTGTAATCCCTCACACCATCCACATATCCAAGCTTACAGCATTTTGTATTCCCAGGGCGATCACTCATCTAGCTACTGACAAGGTTCGACTTTGACAATCCTACGAGAACGGATGTTTAAACGTGATATGGCCAGATGCCTCTTAGGGAACTGCATAAAATTTGTTGTAAATTCTAGATTGGCTTCAAAAAAAATTATGACGAAATTTAGAAAGTAAACTTTCATTTCTTTTTTTAAATAATCACGTCCATCGTCATATTTTACTTTAAGTTTTTTGTTTTTAAAGACCAGCTACATATAGTACGAAGGTTAACGATTCGGAATGATAATTAGGAGAGCCGAGTTCGAATTCCGGATGAGTTCGTTATGTTCACTTTAACACTTTAACCTTGAAAAAGATATAATTCCATCTATTTCCCCTCACCTAGGGGTTAAATAGCAGGTCTAGCTACACTCTCAAATCTAGGAGAAGGAAAACGCTGAATTCAAATATCAGCCTGAAGAAGGATTGGTTCCGTCAGGTTACCTTGCCCTAGGCACACCTTTATTGCTATGGCAGTACCTCATGTGGTACTCTCTACGATATTAGCTGGTTACGGGACTCATAAGTGATGCGAATTGACGGCAGTATGTATTTATATATATTGGGGGAAAAATGTTAAATGTTAAAATAGAAAAAAAGTCTTCGTGTCACGGGTTTCATCTTTTTTGCGATATTGGGAATTTTTAATTTGAATTTGAATTTTTCATTTAGTCTAATCGATTTTATTTAGATTCTTTTTCTTTTTGTCTCCATCATTTATTTTATTAGATATTCTACATTGTGATAATAGAAAATCTGCTAGGAATGGGGAAATATTTTAAGAGCCAGGGGGAAAATTTACTGTTGATGACCTTCCGATCATACACTCTCTATACATTTTCGTCCTAAAGATTGAAACGTGTCACACAAACAGTTTTTCCACTTTCTCATACATTTCCTCTATATTGTTTTTGATATATAAAAATTTATATATCCTTATCTCATTTATAAATGTACAAGCATAAGTATCGACATGCCAATCTACCAGTCTACACAAATTTGACTAAAGGAAAGGAACATCCGTACGTTCAAGCGAAAGCCTTTTTATACAACAATCTAAAAATGCAGGAATAATAATAATAATAATAATTATTGTTATTATTATTATTATTATTATTATTATAACCATCATCATTATTATATTTTCGATTTCTGCTATAGTCACATTACTTACCAAGTCTGTGGTAAGTCGTAATCCAGGCAGTGGTGTGTTGTTATGGCTAAATTTCATGATTTGTTTTTCTAACTCCCATAACATCACTAGCCTTACATGGACAAACGTCTTCTTAGTGTGTGTGATGTAATTATCAAGACATATTTTGCATTTCTTTTAAGCTGGAATTTCTAGGGATTTTTTCAATGTGTTGTTGTGTTCTTTTTTTTTTTATCCTTACAAGCACACATACTATGTCTGGAACTATTCTTTTTAAAGTTTCCATATTTTTTCTGTTTTGATTTCCCGGTCTTTATACTTCGATTGTTTTTCAAATTCCTTGGTTCCTATGAAACGGTACGCTGGGCAAGCCATATCATTAGTAAGCAAATTTTTTTCTTTTCGTTTTTTAACAATTATGTCCGGCCTATTTGCTTCAATCTTCCTGTCTGTAAAGATGGTGTAACCCCAGAGAAT